GTCTGGTTTTTGGCAGAATCAGTTTGAGAATGTTGTAACTTGAGTTTTAGAACTCCGTTTGAGGTGTCGTTCGAAGCGTTGAATAGCTAACGCGATGAACTCCATTCTTAAGGATTAAAATGAAGAATAGGAAGGATAATCCTAGTATCCAAGTTTGGAATCGTATTAGTTCCCATGTTGATCGTTATGTCGGTTTTTGTGAAGAATGATGAGGATGAAACATTTAGAAATTTATGTGTAGTTGTAACAGTGGGATTAATGATGATGATAGTGTGGTATTACAGAATAGTAATATGCAGAGGTTTGGTAATCTAGAAGTAAGCCTTATTCGACTAACTAATTATAGGCAATATCTTGTTATAGGCCTATGGCCAACGTTTTAAAATTGATGAGTTACCGTTGTATTACTGTACGACTGAGTTGTTGATGAGATGATGTTAATAAGAGATTGTTTTGATGAATTATGATGTATAAATGATGTTTGATGATTTATGATGATAAATGATGTTGATGAAAAAGATGTTGAGATGCTTTTAAGATGTAGGCTTTTGGCCAACGATGATGTTGTATTGAGATGTTGTCAATTATGGTGTTGTCATTACATTCATGATTGTGTCGCATACATTACATTTTGAGATGGAGCTTATGCTCGTTGAGATGGCATGTATTGGCGAATATTGAGATGAAGGCTTATGCCTTTTTGATGCCTCTATTAATTGGCAATTTTTGAGATGGGAGTTCTGCTCCAATGGTACCACATGCATTTGCATAGTATTGAGTCACATTATTTGATTTCATAAAGAGGTTGCACATTGATGTGGTATATGTGTATATTGTTGATATTTTGTTATGATGTTTGTTGTTTGTAATACGAGAAGTGGTGATGTTATGTGATCTAATTTAATATATTAATTATCATACACTTTATTATATTGTTAGATATCTCACCCCTTCTGTTTGAATGTTGCCCTTACATTGGCAACATGCAGGTAATCGAGAGTGAAGGTTGTATACCTTCAATATTTCGAGTCGGTGTCATTGCTCTGATATGTAACACTCGGGGGGATGAACGCTTGTTGCTCTTGATTGTTGATTATTCAGTTGTTGAACTTTAAGTTAATTATTATTAAGTATGTGTTGTTTTGAAGTTGCTGTAACGATGATAAAGATGTTATTAAGAATTCCGCTGCGTAGATGTTTAAATTGTTGAATTATTTAATTAAAGTATTATGCTGATGGTTCATCCGAAGTTTTAAAGTGTTATATATCCACGATGAATGCAATGAGTTTTTAATGATGAATTTGTGGCATCCTGATTCGTTTGCGTGAATGATTTTATAACTCTGATTTATTTATAATTGTCGGGTAGAATTGGGGTGTTACACGCTTGGTGGCTGGCCTACTACGGTGGTGGTTGGTCGGTCACCACTGAGTGAGAGAGATGAAGATCTTGCTTTAGTTCTTGAGATAAATTCCAACTTTCTTGAGATTTAAATTTCAAAAATATATAGACAAGCCCCAAAGTCTTGTTTGGCAAATGATGTAAAAAGAGCATATTCCCTTGCTTTTGAGTAATGCAAAATTTTCGGCTTATTTCGGTGTATGGTGCGAGAACAAACCATAAGCTCATAACTTTCGGTGCATAATCCTGACGCGAAACCTGAAACAAAATCATGAGTGACAAAATTTGTGTCTCCGTGCCGAAAGAATCGTCCTGATATGATAAAAATTGAGTGAGTTATGATTTTTCGAATGGCGAGAAACTCAGTGTCAAAATTCCTCTTTTTTGGGTTGTGCAGATTTTTCAGCTTATTTTGGTCTACACTCACGAACAAACCACAAGCTCATGACTTTCGGTGTATAATCCTAACGTGAAACCCGAAACAAAATCGTCGATGACAAAATTTGTGATGTCGTGCCAAAATAATCGCCCCGATACGATAAAAATGGAGAGAGTTATGAATTTTTGAATAGCGAGAAATTTGGCACAGAAAACCCACTGTTTCTGGTTGCGCCGCTTTTCCAACTTATTTTGATGTTAAACTTTGGAAACAAGCTGTAAACCGAAGTCTTCTGAGTAAAATACGAACTCGGGACCTAAAGCAAACTTGTAGCTAACACAATTTGTGACACCATGCTACAATAATCGTCTCGATACAATGAAAATTGAGAAAGTTACGATTTTTGCAATATCGGCGACACAATCAACAAATAACCATTTAGAGTGTAATTTTCTCAGGTAATTCGCACTTTCGGAGATCTTCTTCAAAAAATTAACTTCTGACCCAAACATACGAATTGAGGAAAATAACAAGATGGTTCAAATGCTTCAAGAGCCATCCAAAAGTGATTTCCCAGTCAGAAGTTATAATTTTTTGAACATCCAGACAAACAATTGACCAGCAAATTCGCTGTATAACATAATTTCAAATATTTGCGCTTTTGAGGATCTTCCTTACAAAATTAGCCTTCGACCTGAACAGATGAATTAGAGAAGTTCTCAAGACGATTCCAATGCCTAAAGAACCATTGCCAAACCATTTTCCGGTCTCAAGTTATGAATTTTAACCTCGAATCGCAAAATATTGATTTTCGGCTTGAATTGTCTCAAATCAACTAAAACACTTGACTTTCTCTGCAATTCAAAGCGTGCCAAGACACATGAGAGCTTAATATAATGATGGCTTGATTAATTTCTGATTGAATAACTTAGAACACGTGCGGTGTGCATTTAATGTGGAAAACCCTGAGTTTTGCTTCACAGTGCTTGCTTAACGAAATATTTGTCTTTTATAGCTCTTTCTCGCAGAGAAATGCCTTGATTACATGAGTATAGACTTTATGACATATATCTATGCATATGATGATGAAGCATAAGTCAATTAGAGTTAAAACAAAGAGGGTGAATTTTAGGGTACAACACCAAGTTAGGGGGCTGACACGGGCTGTGTCAGCAGGTCTGGGACCTGGAAAAAGAAAATAAAATATCAAAGGACCAACACGGATGACTGTGTCACCTGAAACGGGCCGTGTTAGCCAGTGACACAGTTTTTTCTTGTTTTTTCTGATTTTTCACTATGTGTGACCCGAAGGGGCGTTTTAGGCATTTCCGACTAAGACCAATGGATTTTCACTATGTAGATGAGTTTTCACGATGAATTAGGGGATCTTTTTTCGCACAGAAAGAAATTGACAATTGAATATTGAAGCCTATGAAATTGTTGGAGAACAATGACTTTTCATGAGCAGAAGCAATTGAAGATCAAAGTTCATCGTCGATTTGTAATGTCTAATTTTATTCTGAAATTATTTTGAACAAGCTCAAGATCATATTTTAATTTTAAAAAACATAAAAATCAAAAACTATATTTTTTAATAATTATTAATAGTTTAAACAATTAATATTTTGACTTAAATAAGGTCAAGATAAATTAACGTTTTTTCTTGTTGCTATATTTTTTTTATTAAGTCCTTATATGTTGAATCTTAAAAAGCAACTATTTAAAATTTTGGTCTCAAGAGTAATTAAACCTATGGTAAGGAAGTAAAACTATATTACAAATGTAAAACTGTATAAAAAATTAGAGGAAATCAAACTTTGCAAGAGTATTATTAGCCCTAAGTATATATTGGTTCCTCCTTTGAAACATCCATAATTGATCATGTGGAATTGTTCTAGACATATTATAATTGTTTTCTAATAAAATTGATTATACTTTTTAAACTTGATTATAACTTAAACTATAATTTATAGTTAGAGATGTTTGTAGTTTAGTTTGGATCGATTTTATGACAAAAATTTATTTGATTTAAAGATAAAAAAATTTACAGTTCGGTTTGATTTTAGATGATATATTAAAAAAAATCCAATCTAATCTATTACAATTTTATACGGTTTAATTTAGATCGATTTTTGAATATTCAAATTGCACATTATATTTTTATTAATATTATAAAACTATTATTAAATCATAGATTTGATATAATAAATAACATATAACATATTAAAAATTAATATTATAAAATATGAGTGATCCATTATAGTTGAAATAATAAAAATAAATAGATTATAGCAAACTAATAAATATTATTAAAAATTATTATCATATAATCATAAATTCACGTAACATATCATATTAATAATAAATAAATAAATATAAAAACATATGCGTGCAGTTCAGTTTGGATCGGTATTAAAAAATTAATTCGAAATTCAATCTGAATGAATCGATTTTCACAAAATGACATCTAAACACATCTAATTAATTTCGATTTTTTACAATTTTCGATTTTTTATTTGAATTGGTTTGAAATTAAACACCTATTTATATCTTTTTAATATAAATATATATTTATATTAAAATTTATTATTCAATTCAAATTTTTTTAAAAAAAAACAATTATCTAGACATAAATCACTTTACTTTCCATTCATTTTTAATCCGACCGAAACAAACGCTAATTATAATAAGAGCTTATGCTCCACATCTTTTCATTAGAAAGTTCAGATGAAAACTAAAGTTTCATTAGAGTGCATATGTTGAAAACAGGCAAAAAAAAATGAGTCATGTGAAACCAACTCAATTCTTCCACCCATCTTTGCAAGTGATGGTGTATCCTCCCAATCTTTGCTTCTTGGATGTGTTATGTGATACGTAGCACCGACACTTCAGAAAAAAACATATATGTGTCCGTATCGATATTGGACACCTACACCGACATTTGTAATTATGTTTAATTTATTCATTTTTCAAATTATCACCGTGTCGCCGTGTCAGTGTCGATGTCGTATTTTGGGTATCCGTGCTTCATAACTCATGTGTTAGTCCACCAAATTGACAACTAAACTCCACATGCTACAACAATTATAAGTCATCTTTAATTAAACTATGATACAAATCAACATTTATTTCAATATAAAGTAGCAGTGTAATAGTTCAGAATTAGTACAACACATTTTATTTCATTTTTCACTCCCAAGTATTATACTTAACTAATGATTAAATTTTGGAAGCTTCAATTGGTCTTTTCCCCTGCTGATAATACTGGAAATATATACCAACATAATCTTTGACTGGTCTGTATAATATTGGCCTTGACTCATTCACTAGTTTCTCAACTGGTTTAATCTCTTTTTCTGAATCTGGAATGCAGAACATTGCCACTGTTAGCCTTTCCTTTTCTGCATTTGTCACTACTCTATGTACTGGACTCTGGAAAATTCCATTGCTCATTATCTGTATACCACATTCAAATTCAAAAGGTCGTGTCAATCGTCTCAGTTTTACATATCTCGAGAAAACTTAACTATATCTTAGAATTCAATAAGTTCCAACCAAATCATAAGTTTAAACAATCGCGCGAGGTAAAGAACGGAGGTAGTAGTTATTACGTACCTCTATTTGATCACCAACGTTAATGACGAGAGCGTCGGGGATGATTGGAACTTTAAACCACTGATTATCTTTGAGAACTTGAAGGCCTTCAACTTCTTTATCTTGCAGCACAAAAGTTATAGATGATCCATCCGCATGTGGTTTCAGGCCCAGAACATGATCAGGCGTAGGACATGGAGGGTAGTAATTGAATCTTATAAACATTGAATCTCTATCTCCACATTCTTTTAGGAAGCAGTCTTCTTCCAAGTTCAGTGACTTTGCCATGGCCCTTAAAATTACTTCGTTTAACTGCCTTAAGTTTTCGGTATATTGTAACACAATACTCCTGCATTGAGAAATTCATTGACATGAAACATATTGTCCATGTACATATTAATGGTGCAAATATTTGTGCCACTGTTATGGTTTACAACCTTCTTTCAAAGGATTGAGTTCAGCCTTATAATCAACTATAGAAATCAGTTATTCCTTTTCCAAGAATAATAATACTATGACTGAATTGATTTATTCGAGTTTATCTATTAGCATAACACTTGTGGCATGAGACTATTTGGGAGGACTTTGACAACCAACTTGATCTGTGCCGCTCACAAGGCCCGCGTACAAGGGCCTAATTACAAGCCCCACACGGAAAGACGCTTACAGCAGGCGATACCTCGCTCAAGCATGGAACACGTGATTCTGACCTTCTGCCAACTTCTCACTGTTGGATCTAATCGGAAAATGATCCACATGAGACACCAGATTAGGCGGAAGCGGTTTTAACCGCTCATGTTATATAAGCTCTACACGCACCAATTCCAAATATTCTTTACTTGAGTGTTAATTATGCAGGTCTGCCCCGCCCTGCTCCCCCGTATCGAAAACACACTCCGCCGCATCTAAACTCTATTTCACTCCATATTCAACTATTTTTGGTTCCATAACGGAACACAACTTATTATCATAAACTGTTGACATTATTTTATCTTTTTGCTATAATAAGTGTCTATGTTATAAGCACTTAATTAAGTTGTGTTTCAAAATTATAAATAGCAAAATCTTATGGTGGGGCCATATAAGAGTACAAAGAATATTCAGTGATATTGAGAATTTATACCGAAAATCATTAGGTTTTTGAGGCCAAACATTGAAATTTCTCTGATCTTGAGGATGTACTTTGAGATAAACTCTATCAGTCCAATCAAGTCTTTGCTTTTCCGAAAATATTACATCATTTCCATATCCTTCAATACCATCCGGCTCCCTAGCACACTTTAACTTTTCTTCCTTTGGAAGCTCAAAAAATTGCTTAGAAACTTCCCTCACTTTATCAAGAAACAAAGTCGTCATACCATGGTTTATCACCTGAATCATTCACAGAAAAACAATAAATCGAGTACTTGTTAAAATATTTGCTAAAGTTTTTAGCAATAATTGGTATAGATAAAAACTGAAAAGGAGACCTGAAAGAAGCCCCAAGAAGAGAGTGCGGAATGGAGTTTTTGAAGCTCTTGTTGTGATGAAGATGGAGAAGTGAGGTTGAGAATGTCAACGACTGGAATATGAATGTTTGATTCGGAAGGATCAAGAGCATGACGAAATCCAACACCGCCTTGGTCGTGGATATAGCTGTTTGAAAGACTTTCAGAACTCAGTGCGAGCTCTTGCACTGATTTACAACCGCCGGTTATCTCTACCTCCGTTGAAGCCACCGGTTCAGCCATTTTTCAGGATACAGAGAGGTCAAAGTTGCCAGAATAGTCTCTTATTGATGCAGTTTCTTATTTGATATACTATCTAAAAGATAAAAAATAATATTTTATTAGTAATCATGTTGTTACTTGACTTCTTTTCATACTTGTACGTATGTATCTACCAATATTATATTTCTCTCCGGGAGCTATGAAGCTCAGACATGCTAATTAGAAGGCGTTTTGGCATGTCTTCGCACCTCGGATACTACATGCGTGCGATATGTATACGTGTCGTGTCCCGTGTTCGTGTCCAATCCAGGCTCCATAGCTAGGGAGTGAGATTTATCCAACCTCTTGAACAAAGTTTTAAGATCCATCTTGTACATTATGTAAAAAAAATGCAGTGAAATGATATATTTTATTTTATGCTATTCTTGGATTGATGATGGAACGTGACGAAATGGAGTGAATGTTATATTTCATTGTTTGGATTAATAAAAAAGAATGGAATGAAGCGAAACATGATGGAATGTATGATGCTTGTTCATTGTATCAGAAATGTCCAAGATATAGAGCAGGATGTCTGCTTTGATACCTGGTGAAGTTCTGGTATGCAAATATCCTGCTCTGATACCTGGTGAAGTTCTGGTATGCAAATATCAGATGTCCTAAGAAATGTCGAGACACTGATATCTGATCAAAACACAATGACAAGATAAATATAGTTAAGAGTACATAAATCAAAATAACACGTAGAGTTATTAAACGACTTCGGTGTACAACAACACCTATTTCGGAGGATACCAAGTGTGATCGGTGGATTTAGAACTGACTATTTTTTAAGCTGGTTTCGCGAAATATCGCGGTAAGCAAGAGTCGCCACCGTCTTTTATATTCTCCAACATGGAAAGGACAAAAGCACAGCAAAATTCCTTATTCGAGAATGTTTCTCGGTTCGGGAGGTAGATTTATAGAAAGGGAATGTGTTAGCACCCTTTCTATCCATGGTTATCCATGGGCTCTTAGGTACTTGCTCTTATGTTTTCAAAATTTGTTTGCTTTTCAAATGTGAGTGGGTTTGAAAAAGTTTCTTTGAAAGATTTCTGAATGACTCTTGTATCAGTCCTCAAGAGTGTTTGAAAAATTTGTTTTGAAAGTTTTTGAAAGTGTGAGGTGTGAAAAGTATTTTGTTTGTTTTTGAAAAGAGCAAGTACCCATGAGTCATCTACCTACCCTAAGGAATTAAGCTGTGTAAGTGTCCTTTAGGTAGTGCCATCCCACCATTGAGAGGTAGGTAGCACCACCGTTGGAGGTGTTCGGGTCAATTCGATTGTAGGGACAGTGTGGTCACCGAAGCAACAGCAAGACACCTTATAGGCTACCCTTATGTCCTTGATCCTTTTTTAATCCGAGGCAACCGTTTCGAGGCAACTGTTCCGAGGCAACTGTTCCGAGGCAACTGTTTCGAGGCAACTGGATCATGGACATAAGGACCGCTAAAACATCCTATACTTGACGACCACGTTTCGAAGGCAACGAGTGAGGCGTACCCTAGAAGTGGTGTGTGTATTGTGTGTTGTTTTCAGTTAATGTTTGTCTTTGTAATTGGTGAGCTACGAGTTGTTTTTATTTACATACATTCTTTCATGCAAGTTTAGCAGTTAAAGGGTGCGGAAAGTAAATTGCGGAAACATAAATCCTACGCTATTACAAGGCGCGGGTCTATACATCGCCAAAAATTACAAAGACCCGTTTTTTAGTAAATAAATAAAGCGATAAACCTATTTAACTACTACATTCTTGAAGGCAATTACATAATAATCAAATAAAGTAAACGTGCGCGAATAAAACAATCGGGAATGTCTAAGGGTGTTGACCCTTTTTTTAGAAAAGAAAATGATTTTTTTTTTGGCTTTTTTATGATTAAAGTGAAGTTAAAGCTAATCAATAACTAATTAATTAATTTAATTAAAAGAAAATATTTTTTTTTATTTTTTATGTTCTTATGAAATAAAAGAAATGGAATAAAATTAAAAGTTAACTTTTACCTAATTCTAGATTTATTTTAATTATTTAAGAAAAGGAATTAAACTTGCCTAATTAAACTATTTTGTTAATATTTATTTACAAAATAAAATAATAATAATAATAATGATGTAATTCTATTTTTTTTTTGATTTTTTATGAAAATATGTTAATTAAGTTAATTTGTTAATAATAATAATAAAAATAAAAAGGTTAAAAATTAAAATAATAGAAAAACAAAACAAAATAAAAAAGGAAGTAAAGACCAAAAAAGGGGGGGGGGGGGGGTGGGCTTACATTTGGAGGTATTGAATTGAGAATTGTGGCCCATTTAAATCTAAGCCACGTTTGACTTTCATGGTTGCCTGCATCGTGCTTGACTCCAGACCATGGTGTGCTACACTTTTTGTCCTTTGGATCTGCGTTGATGACATATGGCAGCGCTGGGAAGTGGGACTTATGATGCACCTCATATTGGAATCTGCACAGGAAAACGTTGAAGAAAATAGTATGGAAATTATAAGGGACCTGGGAAGAACTTACAGCGCGGTATGAGCCTCAGGACTTGGCAAAGGTTGCTTCAGCTTCAGGGTGTGGCAAGGAATAGAACCACGTGCTTGTTTTGATCTGAAGATGCTCGCAACTATGTTTTAGAACTCTCACTTTTTGAATAATTTTTGGTTTTGCTCTTGGCCGTTTCTGCACACACTGTTTTTTGAATGAGGTTGGGAAGGCTTGTATATATAGTAATGAAATGTGTATCAATCCAAATAATGGTCATTAAGCCTTTGCATTAATGTTTAAGATTATGCCATGAACTCCATTGAAACAACATTCCATTTTTGTGTCAAATTTGAATTCTTGCTTGGAATAGGCCCTTGCACGAATTTGGAATGTGTTTTAAGGTGTATCAAAGCTAATCATCACAAAATATATCCCTCCATTAATTTCTTTGATTTTTATTTGATTTTAAAAGATTTAAAATGAATTAAATCAAATAAAATTAAATAAAAATGGAAAAATTAATTTTAAATCTTGAAATAAATTGTGGGACACGTGGGAAGCATGGCCAAGCTGAAACAAGTGGAAAAAGTGGGCCCCTTTTGTCAAAAATGAAGTTTCAAGGATAATTGACTTTGGCCATTTCACAAAAATTTCTCAACTTCTCAAATGCATATCTTGCTCAATTTTAAAGCTATGAACATGTTCTTGGACATTTTGGAAAGGTCTTGAAGTCCTCTAATCAATGTCTTTGGTCCCATGTCATTTTGATTTACCAATCTCAAGTTATGGGCTTTGACTTAAAGTGCCTTTTTGTTGACTTTTGAAAATGACCTATAATGTTGAAATTGATAACTTTTTGTGAGAGCATTTATTGGACTTGGAATGTGAAGATGAATTGTAGGAAATGTCTTCTCCTTCAAGGTGAGCACTGGATGGGATTTTTCTGATGAACCATGAAAAAGTTATGCCTTGGTCAAGTTACAGTTGACTTTTCAGCTGTCCAAAAATAGAAACTTTTGACACCTTGATGATTTTTGAGCCATTCTTGTGAAATCATGATCAAGAATTGATCAAATAATGATTGTGGCTTCAAAATAAGATGTTGACCAAATATTTTGACTTTTGACTGCCAAATGACCATTTTGCCCCTACAGTTGACTGTTGAGCAAATGGGACTTTTGACTGTGCAACTTGACCTTGTGAGCCTTGAAACTTGACATGTAGGTGCTTGACAATGTATATGAGCATGTGGGACTTGACTGAGCCCTTGAAAACCTCAACTTCCTTGCAAGAACCAAAACCCTAATTTGACTGGCTTATGAGGGTGGTTGACTGTGTAGCCCTTGAGAGATCTTGAAGCATTTGAAGATGATGCTTGTCAAAACTTTGAAGAATATGGGAGGGCAAATTTTGGGGTACAACACCAAGCCAGAGAGGAAGTTCACAAAATAGTATCAGTTTGTAGACCTACAACAAACTATCATCAGTTTACAATCTACTCACTTAATCATTACTCGTGCTTAACTTCTACCTAAGACTCACCTAGGCATGAGACCCTTTTCAATTCCTTTTCAATCTCAACAATGATGAAAAACTCCATTACTTAGAATATTCCAGAAGTCACACTTCAAAGACATATAATCACTCAATGCTTAAAAGCTTAAGAATGATTGACAGAACTTACAACTCAATAGAGACAGTCCTACTCTTATATCAAGATGATATTTGAGAGGCTCACAATAAACAAGAACACACAAACCCTAAAATAATACTTGGCAACACAATATGTTCCATCCTTTGAATTAGGATTGTAGCCTTATTTTTATAAGCAACATTTGGCTGGATTTGAGCTTAAAAAATGCAGCAAGCCAGCTATTAAATATATGCAGAATCTTCTGCATAAAAATAGGACTTCAATCATATGTTTCCTAAAATGTCTCAACATTTAGGAAAACAAATTAATCTTCTAAATTCAAATAGAATCTTTGATTCCTTAGTCTTGGATGGCATATAGAATATCCTAATATTCCCAGAATATTCAGAATTTGTTATAACCAAATATATTCAAGTGCTCAACTGTAACATACATGATGTCGAATGATCTGGATAAGACATCTTGTCCAACATGTTTTCTCTACAAGTTAGAACATCATATTCATCATGTTGCTTTCAAATTAGTTTTACCAAAATTAATGTCAATCATAAAAATAAAGAATTAATAATATCCCCCTTTGCCAAATTTTGGCTAAAACAATTTTACAATCCTTGCACACAAATACCACAATTCAGATTCTATCAAATTAACATAGGTTTGAAACTAAATCAAACACACACAACAGAAGCACAATAACATAAAGTATTAGCAGCAAAACTAAATATCAGAGTGTTAGTCAATGGAATATACAAACACAACAAAATTAAGACAAATAAATTCTCATCATGTCAGATATGTCAGGACATCATGTCTGACATCTCATCTCTTTATAACAACCCAATCTTAC